TGCCAAAACATACACACACACACAAAGGTTTCAGAGGGGTCAGAGATAACACATCATGTATATACACTAATGGTGAATAACGTTTATAAAAGACATGTTCTTGTGAAGAATGGTGAGCCGCAGCCCAGATGCTGCTAAGGACCATCCAGAGCTGCTGTCAGATAAGGTGGTAAGTTACCTGATGACCATTTCCACCTCGTGGTGTACTGCCTGTGATATCTCCCTATTGTGGTAATTGAATTATCATCCTCACAGGCAGCAAGAACATAGACCATGGCTCCTCTAGAGGGACAATCTATGCTAGAGAGTATTCTCTAGCCTGTTTGTATTCCCAGGGTAGTCTTTCAAACATGGGATTCTCCTGTCTAAACATTCTAGGGTAGAAGTCCTATAATCTACATCATTCTAAACACTCCCAGGTAATTGGGAACCACCAGTTAAGTCGACAGTGTCTTGGATTATGAGGAAAAAGGGCAGGCTTTACTTAACTCTTCCCAACCCAACATTACAAAGAGGCCGTTCTGTAGATTAAGCAGAATTCTTTACAAAAACAAGCACAAGCTATCGCTAGACATTCCACATCAGTATCCTGTAATTATCAACATGGTTCTTATAAAAATGGAGAGTTCAATTAGAAACATTAAGATTTAAAAAGAAAATAATTAATTATTGCTATAGAACTATTATTTCTGGTAATAAGTCTCCAATTACCTCTGGTGACATCATTTGCCAAAAGGGATTTTTCTCTGAGAAAAATACATCCCTGAAATCCGTCTATGACTCTATCTTTTGAACATAGCTCCATGCCACCCATCTCTGGACTTTGTAAACTTTGTCCTCAGAAGTACATGGATTAAGTCCAGTGGTCCAAAATCCTGAGTGACAAGTCCCACATAGTCTGCAGGTATCTTTCTAATGCTGAAGTTGAGATAAGTAGAGTCAAAGAGAACTTGTTCTTCTCTCTTATAATTTAAGGTACTGTCCACTTAACCAATGCTCCCTAATGACCTGAATGTGTCTATGAGACATACTGATTGTAGGACTCCCATCTCAAGCTATCTAGAGAGGAGGCTGAACAGCCTGTATATTTGAAAGGCTCTCCTCCTAATTCAGACATGCATTTGGGACTTTTTACAATACAGTGTCCCTTCCAGGGAAACAAGAAATACTGTCTTTCTGCATAAGAAGATGTTGATTGATTTATAGATTAGAGGGACATCTTAGGTACTGTACCAGCAGGTGGGATAGATCATTGCAAATCATAAGCCTAAATTAAAGCCTAATCTTTAACACTGAGATCACTGTATTTTATTCATTAAGAAAGCCATTTTTTTTCAGATACCCACCATAGAAGTTAAAAGACTTCCTTAATTATTTCCTAATTAAGTCTAAATTAAGTTTAGAAACTAGTTAAGTGGCATCACTTTATATTTATGATCTATGTGCCTTTAATTGTAGTATATTAGATCTGTATCTACATATCTATATCAATCTATAATATTTCTCTTAAAATTACTTATTACTATAACATTTCATCTTGTTATACCAATCACTGATATAAACATTAATAGTTTAATAGTTTAAGTACACACAGGGCTCAGGGCTAGATGCTAGACTTAGAGAAAGACGAAACTATTTTTAAATTACTGTCATTTTTTAATGGCCATCTGTGCTAATCTTATGCAATTTAGTGCTCACTCATCACTTACATATCAAAAAATTTTATAATTTCAAAGTATTAAAAGATCATTCTGAAAGACCATTTACAAGCCCTGAGTTAAAAACCCTGATCTAAAAGAACACCAATTTCTTCCTCTTTACTGACACTAATTAGAAAATGTATGGCCTTTAAGAGTGAGGCTTGGAAGCTAATGAGACCAATTCATCCCATAATTAAAAATGTGAAAAGTTTCTTCCAAGCCTTTCATTCTGAAAACATCTCTGCTAAGTGAAGAGATTGCTTAGGCTCCTGAAAACATCTCATGAGAAGTACGTCTCTAATAGTCCGCTCCATTTCCCACATGAAGTCCCATGAAGTCAGGTCAGTTACAGAGGGCTCCTGAGTGAGATCTTCAAGGACAGAAACATCAGGATGGGTTTTATCTAGGAAATCTGGTGAGTACATGCCACAAACAATGGTGCCCAAGTGATGTGGAAATCTCTTCAGAGATGCTCATGGACAAGTTATGAGCCACCTCAGACTCAACTACATTTTGGAAAACCCAGCCTCCAGCTCACAAGTCACCTCTATAAGAAGACTTCTACCCATTTCTGCCATTTGAAATTTATTGGAGAATGAATGTAGCTGTGTGGGAAGTTCCCATTTAACACTAGTAAGTGCTTTCATTTTACAGGGAGAGTGAAAAACTTGTTTCAAATACTGTCCATCCAGAATAAGAAAATGCAAAGCTATTCTTGATCTTTGGTAGAAAATAGGAAACACAAACACAAAAATCATGACTCCAAAAAGGAGAAAAAAGAAACATATTTACATCCATCAATGATTGCATTGAGTAGTTATTCTTTGCCAAGTACTTAAACCGCTAATTCAAAAACATCAGATAGTTTAAAAGTTAATCTCTATCTGACTTAAAGCGGCTTCATGCATTTTCTATGTGGTTTGTTTTTAAAGAGTAGGGTGTGTGGCAAAATTTAACAGAACAGCAAGCAACAAATGCTGGCGAGGTTGTGGAGAGACTGGAACCCTTATTCACTGTTGCTGGGAGTGTAAAATGGTGCAACCACTGTAGAAAGCGATGTGGCGCTTTCTCAAAAAGTTGCAAATAGAGATACCATTTGACCCAGCAATTCCACTACTGGGAATATACCCTAAAGAGACCATAA